AATATTCAGGATAAACTCACAAACACACACAAAGTGCATGTATATGTATGGAGCGTTTCTGGAAGGATAAATAAGAAACTGATCAGGGCTGGCCAGGTGGCGCAGCGGTTAAGTGCGCACGTTCCACTTTGGCAGCCCAAGGTTTGCCGGTTCGGATCCCGGGTGCAGACACGGCACAGCTTGGCAAGCCATGCAGTGGCAGGCATCCCACATATAGAATGGAGGAAGATGGGCACAGATGTTTGCTCAGGGCCAGTCTTCCTCAGCAAAAAGAGGAGGACTGGCAGCAGTTAGCTCAGGGCTAACATTCCTCAAAAAAAAAAAAAGAAAAGAAAATGACCAAACGTCTCACTATTTACTCTTACACCTTATGAATTTTGTGCCCTGTATATTTAGATTACCTATTCAAAGACTAACAAAATTTAAAAAAACAGTTATGCCTCTTGAAGAGAACTGGGGACAAACTGAGAAACATGCGTGAGAGGGTGATTTACATTTCATTCTATGTCACATGCGTTATATCTGAAACATTAAAAAATTTCAGATCCATAAAAATTTAGGATTTAAAATACAGAACTACTTTTAAAACTCTGTGGAAAAATAGTTTCATCTTGTCCGCAAGATTCATAAGAAAATACAAATGCATAACCATTCCGTCAACTACTTTTTTCACTTGACAAGCAGATGTGAGGTTAACAGTGTGTTATGGTGACTCCGTATTTGACATAAAGATGGTACACTCCTGGGGAGGAGGATGGGACAGACTAAGAACTATGAAATAACGATGTTGGCACAGTTATTTAGATGCTCATATCTTTATTAAACCACTAAAAATTAAACTTTCTGGGCATCACGTGTTCCACATCAACTTTTACTATTAGTCTTTTTTCATAATTTCCGATCATCATTACTCTCATGGGTTGAATTCTGTGCCCCAAAATTGCTATGTTGCAGTCCTCATCCCCAGTACCTCAGAATGTGATGTTAGAGGGAAAGAGGGTCCTTGAACACACAGTTAGTTAAAATGAGATCATTAGGGTGGGCCCTAATCTGACTGGTGTCCTTATAAGAAGGGAAAATTAGCACACAGGGCCAGACACACACAGAGGGAAGGTGATGTGAAGAGACGGAGAAGATGGTCATCCACAAACCAAGGAATAAGACCTGGAGCAGATGCTTCCCTCACAGCCCTCAGAAGGAACCCACCCACCCTGCCAACACCTCGATCTCAGACTTCCAGCCTCCAGAACTGAGAGACAGTAAATTCCTATTCCTTAAGCCGCCCAGCCTGCGGCACTTTGCGACTGGCAGTGCTAGCAAACGAATACAACTGCACACAATTAACTGTAAACGACTCATCATTTCAGACGACTAACCATTTAAAAAGATGAAAATAACTGACATAATACTGTTCCTTTTTTTCATTACAATCTTCTAAGAAATGTTTTAGTTATCTAAGTCAGTCTCCCTAAACTCTGATACCAAGAATTATTATTAGCATACCAACATTAGGCAACGATATTTAAGCATGTAAGTTTTTTGGCCTCACTAAAGGTGTACTCAAATACTTCTGCAAGTTTGTGAAGCCCAAGAAAAAATATTGTACCATTAGTGACTTAGCATGGAAACCAGTCATCTGCAAGGGGTTTCCTAAACAACTCAGAGGTCCCCACCATTGGTTGATCATTGAAATAACCTGGGAGAGAAGACAGTCACTGACTTCACCCCCACCTGCTCAGTTAGCATCTCTGAGCAGGGTTTTAGAAACTTATTCTACAAGTCTTCTCCACTTCTCCAGGTTTTTATAATAATTAGGTTTGCTTTGTGGTGGCTCCTACTGAGTCAGGTCTCCTCATTCTGTATTTGTGCAAGGTAACTTTTTAAGCCATGTGCAGACTTTGCCCTCACCACACACACGCACTCACCCTTTTTCTCTTGACATTGCCTTTTTGGAAAAGACCAGGCCAGTTGTCTTGCAGAACATCTGACACATACTTAACAAATGCATACTTGCCCTCAGTGCCCATGGTTTCTATTCTAAAAATTTGTTTAGCACTTACTCAGCAATATAAAAGTCAGAGTTAGGCACTGAGGCTAAGGGTGAATAAGCCAGCTTCAAACTTGTAATGGGGGCATACTAAGCATGTTAAATAGAATGGAAAGGTTTGAGGCCATAAAAGACCTGTACAGGCAATGTTGAGGGCCCAGACACACCTTCACTTTAGCTTGTGAATAAAAGGCAGGGGTGTGAATCACGAAAAATGACTCGAGGGAGACAGCGTTTGAGGTTACAACTGGCAGTGCAAATATGCACTGGGCAGGTAAACAAGGAGGGGCTCTCTGCCTGAGGAAACTGCATGTTTACAAAGCATGAAGCCACGGCCCCTGCTATCGCATAAAGGCGCACCTGGAGGTGTGGCGAAAGTAAACCCTAGAGAAATGGAATGGACTGTGAGAGTCCTTTTACAGGTTAAGATCATCTGGTTTTTAATAAGATCATATTTACATTTTAAGACAACCAATCCCCTAGAACTGGGGACAGTGACTTAGGAAAAGACAAGTCAAGATGACCACAGCTTCCAGCACTTCCTTGGGGACTAATATCAGGCTTTACCTCGGTAATTTCCCGTATCTTCTCCCACCTCCCTCATTCTCCATTAGAGTTAGAATTTTCACAGCTCAGCAGTGAAACGAGAAGCAAACTGACCATGGACCGAGCCCTTGGTTAACTAGACGGAAATGGATTTCTTGGTCCTTCATTAACTCCAGAAATTCTTCTTTTTCTGCAGTTACCTTAGGACTTTTTTTTCTACAGTTATCAAATTTTAAAAAATCAGTTAAGTGACAACCAATCATATTTGATTTATACTTTAGAAATATAGGCAAGAAAAACTGAGTTCCTAGGACTGGCATCCTGATCTTTGCCCTGTTGCCTTTTTCGCATTTAGAAATTACATTTGATTATGCCTTAGACTTAAAACGAGACCATTTTATTTAATAACCAATTCTTTTCAATTTATCTCAATTTCATCGGTGTTCATCATCATTTGGTATTTAATTAACCAGAAATATGATCTAGCCTTTAAAACTGCAAGATTAAAATATGGTCTAAATTAAAGGCATTAGATTATACTCAGCAGTTTCATTCAGCATATTTTATTGTAATCTAGATTCTTTGAAAATCCATGTATCACTCTCAGCATCCCAGCTTCCAGGGAGAAATGCAAGGAATTTTCATTATTATATCAATCGTTTCTTTAAAACCTTCAGCATCCCCTGTGATGTAGGCATTTTCATCCCCATTTTAAGCACCAGGACACTAAAGCTAAGGAAAGCATCTAGTAATAAGTGGTATTCAAATATGTCTGACTCCAAGGCCTATGCTCTTCTCCTTTTAACCCCTGAGTAGGAAATTTCACATAAGTATAAACGAACGATTGTCAACTGGCGGCGATTTTGCTCCCCACCCCAATGTTTGGAGACATTTTGGGTTGTCATATCTGGGGGAGGGAGGGAGAGTGCTACTGGCATCTAGTCAGTCGAGGCCAGGGAAGCTACTAAACATCTATAATGCACAGAACAGTCCCCCACAACAAAGGATTCGTAGCCCAAAAGTGCCAAGGTTGAGAAATTATAGTATAAACAAATATTCCTCAAAATGTCTACTTACAGAAGCATTATTACCCCATCCTGTTTTTATCTGAAATCAGTTTACAGTCGATGAAAACAGCTTTAAACCATAACTAGATGTGTATGTATTTAATACATATACACAGGCACATTTTTTTTTTTAAGGTATGCTTTTTGGTGAGGAAGATTGGCCCTGAGCAACACCTGTTGCCAATCTTGCTCTTTTTACTTTTTTTCTCCTCAAAGCCCCAGTAGTACATAATTGCATATCCTAGTTGTAAGTCATTCTAGTTCTATGTGGGATGCCACCATAGCATGGCTTAATGAGCAGTGCTAGGTCCATGCCCAGGATCCAAACTGGTGAACCCCAGGCTGCACAAGCAGAACGCATGAACTTAACAGCGTGGCCACAGCGCTGGCCCCCACATGCACATTTTTAATGCATCTGAAAAACTCTTTGAGTTTATACTGTAAATTGTGAAATGATCAGAGAACTTTGAGGGTTTCAACCTCAAATACTATATTATGTTATATACTATCTGCCATATAAATACACAGGAGTGGGGAACATATATATGTAAGATGTTTGGCATATTTTCATTGGTGTGTGATTGATCTTTATTCTGTTTAACAAAGGATGAAAAAGAGGGGTAAAGGAAACCCTGACTCCAGAAAGGAGGGAGGAACAGCATACTGAAGCCTTATAAAGTAGACATTTTTTTAAAGGCACAATGAAGCCACACCACGAGGCAGGAAACTGCTTTCTTGATTTTATTTTAAAAGTACACAAGGTCACAAAACTAGAGCAAGTTTTTGTTTTTTTAAACAAATTTTGTTCTTACAAACTTCAAAATCTGCACCATTGGATACCTAAGCAGAAACTTCAAATACAAAATCATTTTTGAAACTGACACTATCAGTTCTCTACTTGTATATGTGAGGTGTCAAAATATTTTTTCTCAGTAGTACAAGTGTATTTATCACAAAAATTCACAGTTAGGGACGAGAATAAGTGAATCAATGAATTGTGGTTCTCTTAACACTTGTGTCATTAAATAAGTTAGCAGAAAACAGAGCGAGCTTCCTGGATCGGAGCCTTTAGTCATCACGACCAAAACCAAACCCAGCTGATATTCACGACACTCCTAACTTACAAAATGGAGTATTTTATAAAACTTTACTTTAATTAATAGTAAGAGGCCACATGAGGCAAATTATTTGCTGGTGTTACCATCCATAAGATAAACTGAACCACAATTCATAAATTTATTTATTATTCTTCCCTGCTTCTGTAACATTTATGAGTAAAACTTGTGCTCAGTTATGAACCATTTTAGTGTCAAAATAGGCAAACAAGTAAAAAATCCAACTGCAGAACATGTTGCCTTTATTGCAAGAAGATCCAAAGGCATCTGAAATATGAAAACTTGCCCAGAACATTTATACTACTAAACACAGGAATATTATAAAGATATATGTACATATATATAATATATAATGTCACAAGCCACTAAAAAGTTAAAATTGTGCCAACATTTTCTACAAACTACTCCTTACATGACACATCAAAGCATTAACCACATAAAATACGGACTTTTTCTGTTCACACTGGAGTAAGGCATCTGAAAAGCTCTAAACACTGTGGAGATGAACAGAGATTAGAAAAAAATTTTACACATTCACATAATTTCAAATTCACATGCTGCACACACATGAAAAGACAGAGAACAGTTATTTCAAGAAGCCATATATTACAGAATTTGATGTCCAACTTCATGCAATGAGTTATTTTTCTATTTAATCAAAATGTTTACTGCCCCTTCACTTGCTCTGAATTTCCAGAACTCAAACTTAAAAAATTATCTTTGTAATAAAAATCAGATATTTCTTCATATCCATGATCTAATTGTGTCTCTTGAATTAACCTCCCCCTAAGACACACTCAGGCTTTGTTTCCATTGTACCAACTCCACAGCAGATAGCCCAAATGTAAAGGAAGTTGTTTGCCTGGAATAACTGGTCAGTATAATCAATAAGAGATTGGTTTTTCTGGCCTTCTAACAGGGGAATATTAGTGAGATTGCTAATAAGAAAAAGAACACCTATAAACTACATATTCAAAGCACAGAACTACATCCTCTACAAGTATCATTTCTTTTCAAGTTATTCTGAGTAACTCATAACTCAAAAAGATGGTGTCAAGTCTCGCAGGTGTAAAGTGGAATCAAATGGTTTTGCTTCGAGGATGCAGCGCCATCCTTGACTGATGTTGTCTGGCTTGCTAAGGGAAATGCCTGAATAACAATTTTTTGTTGAATAGCTTCATCATTACCAATAGCAATTCTGGTACAAATATTTGATCTCTGGCTCAATTGAAACTATGAGTGAGGATTACTGGACAAGTATCAGCCCTGTGTGACCTTTGGTTTAACTGAAGTTTACAGTGGAGTAGCTAGAGACAGAGGCCTAAAACTGAATTCTGTCCTCTCACCTCAGTCACGTCCCACAGGTCTCTGCAGGTCACACAACTGAGTTTTTGCAAACACATATCTCAGGCTGTGGTTGGTACTGACCTGAACTCAAAGCGCTTCTGGAAGAGACTCTGATTCACTTACAGCCAAACCTAGACTCGAAAGTCTTACATATGCCCACCTTTGACAGTAATTTCTACTTAGATTGACTGCATCATTATATGAAAATCGGGAAGAGGGAAGACCAAAAATTTTTTATTATTAAAGTTTGTGATCTGTTATTTATTCTTATTATAATATCTTATAAATGTTACTCATATAAAACAGGCCAGACATCTGGCATTCAAAGATTGCTACTGTTATAAAGTCAGAGTGTTGGGGATGTTGAAATTTTACAAACTTTATGGATAACACAATCAGTTAAGTTGCACCCAAAAAGAACAAAGAGGAGGCAAGACTGAAAGCGTGAGGATAGAAAGGAGTCACAGTGATGCGTTTTTAGGAACAGTACCTTCACCTCTAAGCACCTTTCAGGTGATAGCTAGCTCATAGGCACCAGAAATTCATAATAAAATACCCAAAAGGCACAGATGAAAATGTTAACACCAGTATAAAAGCAATATTACATAAGGTTAAAACTTAAAAATGCTTCCAAATATGTAAAACTATACACTAACTCTTTACACAGACATTCAGCTTAAATTTACCATTAAAAGTGTACACAATACTCTGCCTAGTCATAAATTCATGCCAACATTACTTTATAATGTAGCATTTACCACCACAGCACCCGAAGAGATCAACAGAAACCAACTCCCTACTAAAATCTAGGGAAAAGGTTTTAGAGCTACTGAAATATTTATTGCAGACCTTATTTACTATAAAGAAACTGTTGGCTCATTCTACTATATCCACACTCCCTCACAGTCTTAAGGGAAATACAATAAATTCACTTTCTTCTACTAAAACAGTATGTAATACATTTGGCAGTTAGGAGTATTGCTTGAACTCCGGTTTGCTTTCATTTCTGTCTTTCTTAAGAATAAACCACTTTCACAAAACTAAGACTCAAACTTCTCAAAGCTCAACTTGATTTTCTGCAACTACACAAAGACATGTTGGCCATACAATAGCAAATGCACATCCTCCCAAGTCTGAAATACAGACGTGATGGAGGACACTTACTAGCTTAAAATGTATTTTATCATTCTGAGTCTATGAAGAAAACATCCTCCAGGAACCGCATTCAAGAGGGTAAATTCAGGAATTACGTTTCGAGAACAGATAATATGTAACACTAACGCAAAAGAAAACCAAAACATTGAACCAGGAAAAAAAAACATTTAAAACTTGGAACCAATAATTAGCGAATTTCAATCTGTAATTGTCAAACAATAAATGAGTTATAATTTTTTCTTATTAGAAAAATATCATCTAAGGTGGAGAGCCAGTATTTAGTTGGGAACTGTGAAATACTCCACACTTGACCAGGCTGGTCACGGTTCTGAAGACCACCGCAGGCCTCCAGGCAGCAGACCACTTATCCACAAAATCCACCCTCACGACTCACCACTAGTGTCATCACTGTGTGTAGCTGAGAGCAAATTTTCTAAATTTGATAGATGCTCCTTTATTTTAGCAAACAAAACAGCTGACTACATCCCTGCTGCTTGGAGCAGTCTGTCAATTAAATACTTAAGAAATCATTTCACGGCCAAGGTTTATCAATGACTTGGAAGCAAAACTAGTAATTTCTAGAACACTGCAGCGTTTTCTACGTTATTCGAGATATTCTAAACACATTTAGAGTTTTCAAAGAAGCTACAAAAACAAGAACAAACAAAAACGTAGATAAGTATTTTTGCCATGAATGTTCCTTTACCAGTTTCGGGGGGACTACTGGGTCATAAATTAATTGAGAAAGGCATCCTAAAAATAACGGCAGAAATTATAAAGTACCACTTGCAGATGATTCAAGTATCAACTTGGTGCATGTGAGTTCACCAATCTCTTCGCCTATGATTTCATATTCAAAGTGCTACATCTTACTTCAGTATTGATATTTAGAAACCTATAAAATCAACCTCTTAAAGGAAATCTTTTTCAGGTGGTCGATTTCTCTTTAGTGACTTTAATGCCTTTACTGTTTCAATATAGCCAAACAAAACTTCGGAAGTATAGCTCTTACAGTCAACTTCTTTTTGATATATTATGAGGCTGGTAGCAAAATTTAGAACAGGATAGGTTTTCATATTTCAAGAGAAGAGAAGAAACGTGGAGAGCAGAGACGAAAGGCGCGGAGGTTCTATACTATAGACCCGTCCTTGCTCTGTGCCGGAATCATCACAGGCACCGCTCCCATCCTACTGAGATTAGGGGCAGCTACCTTAGCAGGCGGGAGAGTCGGACTCTGAGGAGCACGTTCAAAGTCTTCGCTTGGTACTTGGTTGTACTGAGTCTTGGAATACCCTTCCATGTTGGAAGGGGACATGGATCCCAGAGATGAGTGATTGCTGCCGATGTAGCTCCTGGCAGTGGACGTACGGCTCTTAGGAGGCGGCACATCTTCCCTAGAAAGCAAAGATCCCAACACAAGTTCAAAGAACAAGTTTCTAAAAACCTACAAGTATGTAAGCTGTGAATCACCAGTAGGGGTGAGGGAAGATCCTCCACATAAGGATAAGGTATATAAAAGTGTGTGTGACACAAAAAAAGCAAGCACAATAAAGTGCTATATCATGAACCGTGCATGTGGCCCAAATGCATCACCTACACAGTGTATCTTCACACAGAATGAATGTGGTTTTCACAAAAATTTGTGATTCTATAATGTCTTACAATGAATAAACCTCAAATATCTTCATATTCTAGTATCAGTGATCAAGATAATCTAGTTATAGTCATGTAACACCTTATAGATGACAACGCGTTAACACCTACAGATATATTTCTACCAAAAAAAAAGGAAGAAAGAAAAAGAAAAAAAGTCCTTTTTGTTATGAAAGTTAATTATCTATAAGACCTTAGCTGAAAACTTAGCAGATTTAAGTTTGCAAAAACTGGGAATTTAGGCATAAGAATTTTCACACCAAGCAGTGACAAAGAATATCTGAGTTACCTCTGGTATGTTTTAAAAATACAAGTGCCCAGACCCCATCCGACACCTACCAAATGTCAATTTCCTCTGTGTTATTTAAGTCATGTTATTATGTTTACAAGCTCCATAATCCAATATGCGCTTCTAGTTAAGATCTACTGGCTTAGAATATTTGAAAAACGAAAATCACATTACCAATAGTTCTATAAACTACCTATGTCACTTGATACAAGCAGGTCTTTTTTTTTTTTTCCTAAAACCTTAACATCTGCTCCATTTTTTGAAAATTGCATGCCTGCACTTTACTGGGAGAAGGCAGACAATCCTGAGATAAGCATTTTGCACTGGTTCTTAAAAGAGGGTCCCAAAGGGGTGGGGGCCACAGAGCACAATGGAGGTTGGTTGGATCTGCACAGTTGAAATTGAAAGTAAAAGTTTTCAAATGTGTTGAGGGAAGAGCTATAGCTTTTATGCAGTCCTCACAGGGACAAATGCTTCAGATGATTAAGAGACAGTGCTTGAGAGACGTAATAAATTTAGTACACATCAGTCAACTCTTGCGTCACTTACTTACCTGATATCATGATGAACTTCCTTTTCATATTTTTCTTCTCTGCGCTTTTTGAGACAGCAAAAGATGATAAAACCAATGACCAACAGAGCACACAAAGTTCCTATAATAGCCCCAGCAATTGTTCCAGCTCTATTTGAAGCTAGAATAAGATGTCAATAAGAAAATAATTAATAGTAAAAATAATTCTGTATTTAGTCATATTAAAGGTAAAGATACACACTGACAAGACTGATTTCATTGCATATATTAACTTTCAAAGAAAAATTAATTAGCTTTTTCTGGTCCAGGGGAGAATCTACTACAAGAACTTTCTTCTGAACTTTGTGATCTATTTCAAGCATAAAAATGATAAAACTAGACTAAAAGATTTTAACATTCACAGCCATCTTGGTTGGCATGTAAGAATGTTCTACATGGCTTGTACTCATAACGGCTAAATAAGGTGCAAGAGTTGATTTGAGGGGCCGGCCTGGTGGCGCAGCAGTTAAGTTCAAACGCTCCACTTCAGCAGCCCACGCTTCCCCGGTTTGGATTCCGGATGCGGATCTATGTACCACCTGTCAAGCCATGCTGTGGCAGGCGTCCTACATATAAAGTAGGGGAGGATGGGCACAGATGTTAGCTTAGGGCCAGTCTTCCTCAGCAAAAAGAAGAGGATTGGCAGTAGATGTTAGTTCAGGGCTAATCTTCCTCAAAAAAAACAAAAGAGTTGATTTGATAACTTTTCCCTTCTTAATGTTACTACAATAATGAAGAAGGTTTTATTAATAAAATGTAGTATTTTTTTTCCTTTCCATGACTTAGGAAAGCTAATAATCAAACCACAGGGTGCTCTGCTCAAAGTTAGCACCCCCTTTCCTCAATACCCTGTTGCTGCCTGAACCAAAGGAGGCCATATAAAAGCAACGAAAACGACATAATCACAACAGACAGAAAGAAGACACTTACGAGGGACGACATCCAGGGACAGCAGGCACTGATCAGAGCCCACTCTGTTTCTGACTGTACAGCTGTATGTCCCAGAATACTCAGTACTGGCATTTTTTACATTTATAACAGATGAAGTCATTTCTATGGGAAGAAAATGGAGGAAAAGAGCAAAGCTCATTTTTAAAGTATTGTTTTGCTGGCTTTTAGTAAAGGCAAATCCTACTAAGTTTGGCAATCCAGGTAAAAGCGAGACAGACTGAAGTTGGGTGCAGAACGAACTGCCGGTGAGACATATGCATGTCTCCAGAAGGCAAACAATTTTGCCTCCAGGTCATCTGTAGCAAGGCGAAAGTAACCATGAGGGCTTAGCCAGGCACAGTCTCAGCCGAAGCAGAGCCACACGGATCACAGAAAATACCCCATGCCACAAAGGCCCTTGGGTGCAGCAGGAGGATTTGTAAAACCTATTTCATCCTCGTAGATGGAAGAAGCATACAAAAAGAAAGTCAGAGGGGATCATATAGTTTCGCCTCTTCATTTAAAAAAACAAAGAGAAGTGGAGAGAAATCCTACTTAAGACCAGGGTGGGGAGGGTAGAGCTTGGTAATCACTTTGACTAACGGGTCAATCATAACAAAAGGTGAGTGGTCAGATTTAACCAATTTGTAACTTCCTAGTTAGTGTCACACAAGAGTTTTTTTCCGTTTTACAGATACAGCATGGGTAAAGCACCAAATCTTCAACATGAATCTCGGCAAAGCACTCAAGTACCAGCTCTTTTTATAACTTAGCCACTACTAATTTATGATCGTGAACATTTTCCATCAGTATTATCATCAAGTAAAAAGTATATACCAAAGAAACCAATTATAAATGGTGAAATCATTATACAAATATCTCTTCATCTATACTACATGACACTAAGTTGTCATTATATAAAAGGCTGAATAATTCCCATGGAATCCCAATTGTTCTGTATAAAAAAAGGGAAGGCATTTGGGAATTAAGAAATACATACACATACACAACACTACTAGATTTAAGTCCAAATCAATGACGCATGTTGCAAACTGTATCATCAGCAGTACCTGCTAACCACGAGGTGGGCAGCTTCTGCGGGTCAGACACTTTTTGCCATTCATATTGCAATGGAAGTGAACCTTCTTTTGGTTCACATTTTAGTTTAAAGTCACTTCCAATTTCTTCTGATCCATCAATGTAACATCTCGTACCTGAAGGCTTAACTGAGAAAAGAAAATAAATTATAACTTTATACAAGAGAATGGAATTTGTTTATGATGATTACTGAAACATAAGCATGTTGCAAACCACTGGCTCATCATCAGGTGGTCCTGGGTTCAGGGTCAACAAGACTGCAAGACTACAACAGGTTGTCAACACCAGTTGACTCAGCTTTATCCAACACAAAACAGGCAAGAATAAGCTCAGGCAAGCAGCCATTCATAAGCAGGTCTGGCAGCATCTCAGGCGCAGCTCTGTGCCCCCAATTCCAAGAGGCATACGTGAAAAAAGGAAGGACGATGCAGGCTGGGCCACATCAGACTCAAAGAAGCTTCTCTCCTTCCATTCCTTCCTATTTTTCTTCTCAGTGTTTGACATGAAGCCCTCTGGGAGTAAGTGCCATGTCACACCCCTCAGGGTGCTGTGACCCCACCAATCAGGGGTTTATAATAAATAATACTGACAACCGGGACAATGTGCTTCCTGAAGCAAAGACCAATGAACATTCTGCATGTACAGTAACCCAAGACCATACAGGGCAGTATTATAAAAAGGTAAACCTGAGGTTATATTCTAGGTCTGTCTAGGAACCTGTTTAGAGCAGCTGCTACTCCCGTTATCTGCAACTCACCCCAAGATTGGATTAACACTGTGGCGTTTTATACTCTTCTGCTGAACTGCAGTGAGGCATAATAGACACACAATAAAATTAATACATTTTAATCGTGTGGGTTGACCACTTTAACAAATGTCTATTTGCATATACCCAGCAAGCACCACTCTAATCCTCTCCCAAGCAAGTTCCCTCATGGGGATGCAGTCATCTCACGCCACAACCTGGCCCCAGGCAGCCACTGATCAGATTTCTATTGCTACAGAATAGTCTGCTTCTTCTAGAGTCATACAAATCAATTAATATAGTATGTACTTTTTTGTCTTGCTTCTTTTATTCACTGTAAGGCTTTTCAGATCAGTCCATGTGATTGATCGGTAGTTCATTCTTTTTTATTGCTGGGTTGTATTCCATTGACTGACTGTAACATAAATTTGCTTATTCATTCATCTATTGATGAACACTATCTCCAGTTTTTGAGTTCCTGTTGAAGCCTAATTAGCTAAACTGGACAGGAATAGGTGTGTAGTCGGTCACAACCAGATTAAGCAGTGAGGAAGGCTCTATGAGGAGCTATGGAATGGCACTGGACAAGAGAGGAGGGATTTTGAAGGATTTTTTAAAAATTATTTTATTGAGGCCATATGGATTTATAATGTGTAATTCAGGTGTACATTATTATATATCAGTTTCTGCATAGACTGTATCATGCTCATCACCAAGTCTGGTTTTTATCCATCACCAGACAAATGTGTCCCTTTCACCCTCCCCCACCCCCTTCCTCCCTGGTAACCACTAATCTGTTCTCCTCATCCATGTGTTTGATTATCTTCCACATATGAGTGAAATTATATTTTGTTTGTCTTTCTCTGTCTGGCTTATTTCACTTAACACAATACCCTCAAGCCCCATCCATGTCACAAATGGCACGATTTTGTCTTTTATTATGGCTGACCAGTATTCCATTATATATGTATACCACATCATCTTTATCCATTCATCCACTGACGGGCACTTGGGTTGCTTCCTTGTCTTGGCTATTGTGAATAATGCGATGAAGATAGGGGTGCATAAATCTCTGAATCGTTGATTTCATGTTGAAGGATTCTGAGGAGAGTCTAAGAGAAATGGAGATCAGTCCTGAATTGGCTGCTGCTTCTGAGGTGGGATTAGGAGAAGCAGGGGTTAAACTGGAGACATGGGCCGTTTAGCAGCCGAGTCTCCCCAGGAAAGGATAAGCAGTGCAGAGTTGGGGCAACAGTGGGGAGACAGCAGTAGTCTCTAGTCACTGCTGCTCCAAGAGCTGGGGAGAAACGATGTTCACTCCAAACCCTGCAGCTGGCCTCATGGACATCTGTCCTCCCAGCCTGATAAACAGCAGGACTGCTTTTTCCTTTTTTAGTCTAAGCTGATCTTTATTCTTCCAGTCCTGGATGGGCTTTCATTATTTCACTACTATAAATAAATGTGAACGGGTTTTACAGTTTTGCGTTATTAACAACTCTGCTTGAACACATGCAAATACTCGTCTATGTTTTTCTTTTTTCTTGGTAATTGCTGGGTCACATACGGTAAGGGTACATTTACCTCAACAAGAAACTGTCACACTGTTTTCCAAAGTTGGCCAACAGGATCTGTGATGTCCAGGAGGCCATCTTTAACTGAGGTTGTCAATTATCATATCACACTTCTTCACATATTTCTTGATAATACTTAAATTTGATTGTATATCTCCCCTTCATCTGTTACTACTTGTACTTTTTAATAAGAACCACAGACGCATTAAAGCGCATTATTGATTTTCCTAAGTGAACCTGCTTCTTTTTCAGATTGATTAATTGCCCTGGAGACTACACCAATTGGACTTTTAAATCAGTTTTGCAAATTATTTCATCCTGTGAGTCTTTAACAAAATGAGTCTGTTCTTCATTTCTTCAAACAACCAATAAGTCCTTTATTAAACAAATCAGCAGTGAGATATTAAAGCAATGATTTGTACATCAAACATCTATTAGTAACACAGTATTCTAATGTTCATCTTTTCTACTGAAAATGTCCCTTTACCATATTGCAAACGTATCTAATAATGGGCAGTTACTTAAGTGACTGTTCAGAAAATTCAGGGCCCCACTGAGTTTGAGATCTCAACATACTCCATCCATCCACAATTGAACAAGATTTTACCAACACTGGTTTCCGAATGTCACTTTGGAGAGGCCTTCCACTGGGAGAAGAAAAAGCGTATTTTACATGCCAACCCCCCAACCATTATACCACTAAAAGATTAACTCTTAATCCATGGCACTCTTGCTGGATCAAAAGAAAGATAAACCACAAAGGGAACACAGATAGCCTTGTCCTCTAATGTTTCTTTGGTCTGGGCTTCAGGATACTTGGCCACTGTCCTCAGAACATTTGCCTCCATGATTATTAACAAGTCAATACTCCTTCCTAGATAAGGTACATGACCATCAACTTGTACTTGGCCAATGTCTCAACATTTAGTAAGACTGTGCTCCACACATGTATTGCACCATAATCCCTCCATGCTAGTGGCCTGCCTCAGTCTACAGGAAACACACTCTAAATCCGTATTTGTGACAGGATATACTTTTATCATCATGTCATCCATCAAGGAATGCTATTTCTGCTTGGTTCAAAATACCCCAAGTCTAGGCAAAATCCATCCATGAATGCTAAAAATCAATGGGGAAAAGTTCGAGGAGAAACGAGATATTTGCAAAGTCTCAAAAGTGGCTCCCCCAAGATATTTTTTAATTACAGAAAGAAAAATTATAATTTTATAGGGGACAAACCCATCAAATAAACCAAATGATCATGATTCACAATGAGACATGACATCACTGGCACAATTGGAGAAAACTAAGAAGATGTAAATGCAATCACAGCACAAAAAGGACATTAGTGGAAAACCGACATTCAAAATAGGTCTATAGTTTAATTAATAGTATTGTCCCAACATTAATTTCTCGCTTTTGATAAGTGTACTACATTTTTATAAAATGTTAATATTATTAGAAATTAGATGATGGATATACTCTCAGGAACTCTAGTATTTTTGCAACTTTTCTATAAAACTAGATTTCAAAATAAAAAGGGGGGGGGGGGAAGCCCTGCCCTGTACCAATGACTTGCAAATCCCTCAGGCCCCTTAGGGCCAGTGTTGACTGAGCCACCACACATACTGTTGCCACCAAGTTCTGGTGGTATGGGCACGTTGTGAGTGCATCACATCGTCCAGGAAACCATTAATTGTGCTTGCACAACTCTTCAAGACCACCCAGTCTGTTTATACCAAAAGGTTTCAACATTAGGCCCTTTCGGAGTTCTGGAGGAAGGCGCTGGTGATAGGTGACCCATATTAACCCTCTATTAATTCCCTTTGTTATCATCATCTGCTTTCAGCTTCTTCATTGAGCTGCATCCATACGCACTTTGGGCGTATCTGAAGGAGCAGGGCAGACTCCGGAAATAGGGCAAGCTAAGTCAACCCTCACACACAGGCACCTAAGAGTCATCCCAGTTCATGCCCACACAGCGCGCGGGGCTCAAGTGAACTCTCATTACTCTGTGAACACCATGGTGGCATCTCCTCCAGATTTCCCACTAACAAATCAAGGTATTAGGGATAGCAGAGCCTCCAAGAGTAAAGCAAGGGAGAGCTCCATTGGACCACCACTCAGTGCCCCTAGAGGGCAGGTCATTGTATCTTTCCTTCTGATTATCTAAGCAGAATTTTCAGCTAAAGCTAACAGATAAGTTTCCATCCAACTGTCACTTTCAAGAGAAAATTCTAGTGCCTTCTCCCAGGAGCGGGCCATGACTCATCTGAAAACATGGAAAAGAGAACTACAAGAAATTCTCCTCTGGCTTTGAGAAAGCCTCGTCAGACTAGAGTATTAGTCATCCCCGCTGCCCTTCAGCAATCACTTCCCCTTTCTCCTCCTGCTCCCTATTTGCCCCTTGCTCCCTCCCTGGTTTGCATTCACAGCTTGCTTGGCCATGGTGATCCCCCGAAGAGCTAACAAAAGGAGCTACTGTTCAATGCTTCTCACTTCTCCATCCTGAGGAATTAGAAGTTGGGGTTGTGAGGTTTAACATCAAAGGAACATTCCTCCTGCCTAGCAGTCAAGGCTGCTGTCACCAGTGTGCTTAGCCACCTTATGTGCCAACACTATTGTCCAACCTGGATTCCTTCAGGGACATGTGCTACCTTGTGCTGTAATGATCCCTTCAGTCAGGACCTGCAAATTCAATCCAGAATCTGTTCCAAGGGGATTACTCACTCTCACACACACACATACAAACTGTGCTTGTCCACGCCTCTTTCAGGAATACACACCAATTGCATTCTTCCCGGTGCACCTGCCCCCATCAGGGATTTCACAACAAATAATTCCGATAACCAGGTATAGTCTGGTTGGTACATCATGAACCAGTTTAAATTCCATATATATCTTAATTCAATGCTTTCTGTAAAGCAGAGTTAAAAGAAGATACAGAGTCAGTTATAATCCCAGGTACGCCTGAGTCTGGGATAGGAGTTCAGACAAGTTATTAAACTTTGCCTGCTTTCACATTTATAAAAAAGAAAGGTAACTCCATGCTTACTGAATGTAGACACAGAAAGCTAGAATTCCCAACATGACCGTATTCCTTTTCCTGGTTCCTTGCTCAGGTTCACTTGCGTTCATACCACTGGAAATATTTAGAACTAGTGCCATTAAGAATGGACTGGCTTTTACCAGGACTCTCCCGTGTGCCCACTCAACAATGATGCCAGTGCAAGACTGCCTTACCAACCAAGACAACCCCTGAAGTTGCCATTGGGGTGCACAAAAATCCACATTCTTGTTCCTAGTCTATACTTACTCTGATATTTTTTAGAAAGGAGTGATGTTCAAAATGAGTCTGGAACCCAATGTACTTAATTACTTCCCCATTCTCCCCTTCTAAAATGAAAGGAATGAGGTAGAAGTTGACGTGGGGGAGATCTGCCTTCATTAGTTACTTCCAGGGGTACGCTAGGCAATTCTAGCAATCTGCATTTCCTACACAAAGTGGGCCCCCAGGCATCCCCCAAAACAGGCGAGTCACAAACCAGGGCAATTTCTTATCATAGAAGAGAGCCAGACAGTTATGTTTTTCTACATAGTAGCCATTGTACTTTTGTGTAAAGTCTACCACAATAAGATTTAAAAGTATATTTAAGAACAATGACCTTTCAGAGTTTCTCAATCTGAAGCGGTTAAGAGTGCTTGTGTGCGACCACAGAATCTAGAGAAGGATAATGAACTTTGAGGTCTTACAAAGCTTACAAAGCACTTTACACTTATCTGCTTCTTAACTACCATACAGAGAGCAAGATGACACCCCAGTGACCATCTGTCTAATCCTCTCACTTTAAGGATGAAAAACAGTGAAGCTCAGGGAGGTTAAATGATTACCTGACATTTAATGGCCTTATTCCAATTCAATATTCCTTCTACCATATTCCATCTTCTCTGCTCTAAATATTCCAATTGTTCATCATAGAAATCTCATTTATTCTTTGAGTAAGGAAGTTTGAAAAAGCTTAAAGCGCCCACAACAAACAGTTTTGAAGTGAATGAGATTAGACAGAGATTTAACAATAATTAAATCTTTTTACGTTTCAAAAAGGTAGGCTGAGGCCCAGGAAGTGAAGGGGTTCTATTTAATTCTCAGGGCAAATGTGAGGACAACGCAAAAAACCTCGATCTAACTCCTGACTTAGGGTTCTTGTCCCACACCACAAAACTCCTTTTATCTTCAAACTCTTTTATGAATTTCACAAAGCAGCTGGTCACTTATTTTTTCTCTCTAAAAAAGTGTGCCAACTTTGTTATTTGAGGATGTTAGAATTACTTCAGATGTTTAAAATTATTACTCTACACACAAAGCTCCATCTCATAAATGCTGTGCTGTAGTACTGTGAATGATCACCCCGCTAATAAGTGACATTAGTACAAATAACTTACCAAGAACCGTCAGCTGGATCTTCTTGTTTGCAACACCAGGAGCTTTTTTCACTTTGCATTGATACGTGCCAATATCTGACAACTGTAAATTCGTGACATTTATTGATGCATCACCAGCTTTGAGATCACTACTTGTAAAATGTACTCGTCCTTTCAGATCCTGATAGTAGTCATCATAAATTTTGTCTCCAGAATATAAAATAATCTAAAAGAAAATCAAAATAAGACAGGGAAAAAACAGACAAACAAGCAAACCCTCGGTCTCATTCGAGGAGCTGTGGATATACCATGGTCATGTGGGATCCAAAAAGAGAGTAAGAACACAGTATTACAAGGAAACCTACCATTATTCAAATCACAGATTAAGAAACTGGAAAGAGATCAACATGGTCCTCAAGTATGGTCACACACTCCCATTTTAAACAGAGAAGCCAAGCCCCAACGTGATGCAGTAACATAGCCCTATATGAGAGAGTGCATTAGTGAGGCTGGACAAGAACACAGACTTGTGAATTCCTATACACTCTTTCTCAGCTGCCCCAGAGCTACAGTATGCCAATCGAAGGTACAAAATCAGTTTACGCATTTGTACATACCACCACCATTCCCCCAAAAAGTCTTAAAATAATTTACCTGTGGAATCTGACGCAAAAGACCTTTTGACTTAGTACTAACTTGGAGGCACTTGAGTTCTAAACTCTAACACCCTCATGTGTCCATCAGCAACAGAGACAAGTTCTGAGGAACGCGACATTGGCAATTCCATTGTGCAAACATCATAGAGTGTAGTGGCACAAACCTAGATGGTACAGTCTACTGCACACCTAGGCTATGTGGTACTAATCTTATGGGACCATGAGAGGGGGTGGCCTTAGTCATTCAAGACTTGGGTAAGCACCTTAGTCATTTCCTTCACAAACACATCAAGGGAAAACTGCCTGGATTTACCAAAAATAGTAATTACCTAACTGCACTGATTCAGCCATTAACCCCTTCTTTTATATGGACCATAAGTAAAAATAAAATTTCTCTTCCAAATATATATATTACCACATTCCTCTAAATATCTGGCGTTGTTTCTCTCTCCCTAGTCTAACATAATTCATTAATATCGATTTTTTTTAACTAAATGTGTCAGACAAAGCCAATATGCAACATTCTAAATTAAGTGAAATAAACTGGCACCACTAAAAGGCAAAGTGTGAGACATGTATTTGGAGATGCGACTACTGGGCAAGTGTCCTCCTTTGTGCGTCTCTTGGCTTTATAGTTTTCTACATTAGGCTCTCATTACTTTGTAATTAGAAAAAATTCTATAACAATATTTTGATAATTTTTTAAAATTTAAGATTAAACGTTTTATAAACTGCTTTTTTGCTATAAAGACTTTGTTTAGCTTTTTAAGAAAATCATTGTACAAGATATTTAACTTGAAGAAATAGGAAAAATAGACTAACAATATGTACCTGGTTACACTAGGTCACACTTGATGATCCTTACACTGGAAACAGAATCTTTGAGTAAAACTTAAAAATTCAATTCTATCTAACTTTTCACAAAGCCTAGCTTACTCGCCGTCCCCTAACGCATTTTGCATGTTCCTGCCATGCTCTCATGCCTGCTCCACATAGCCCTCCACTACTCCCTGTTTCGAATATACTGCCAAATCTGGATTTTCTGAACGTCCACAAGTTCTTCTTCCTCCTTGCGGCCTTCTCTAGGAAGTTTAGTGACCCTTTCTTCCTCTGAAATCTTAGGTCACTTTATGATCCGTTTCACTCCATTACATATGTGTCCTCACTTTCCACCAGGGCAACTGCCTTTCCTCACCCAGACCACAGGCTGGAGAAGCCTGGGGCTTCCTTCACAGCTCCCCGTGCTCCCCCACCAATGTGATCAGCACAGTGATGGACACCTAAGACAAGTCCAAGGACATCTGCTGAGCGAGCAGGTACTTATCTAACTTACCACTTGATCCACCTTCTGATTATCAGCTGGTGACAGTAGCCACTCGATGTCCAGCGGTCCCTGGTCATCCGGACTAAGGGTAAACTTGCAGGGCAAATAGGCAGTTTCTCCTTTGGCCTTTTCAATCATCTGGTCAGGAGTAGTAATACTCAAACTTCTGGTGAACTCTGGAGAAAGAAACATGTACGTGGACTAAGCATCTGCTATTAGGCTGGCAGCATGCTTAGCACAGCGCCGTTCAGAGAAGGCGCACAGGATGCGGTGGAAACACGATGTGATTTGGGGCCACGGTCATGGAGCTCAAACTCAACGGTGCCTGGTTTTTAGCTTGTGCCTCTGTATAACTGGAATAACAGCATTAGTATCTATCTTATTCAATACATTCCTTCAAGAGCCCTGTGAACCTCCCAACATTTTATGAAATACAAATTTCTATTAGCAGAGGGTGTTTTATATCGAAGCAGATGTTTAGAACTGAACTTAGCCAGAGTCTCTGAAAGGTCAGTTGTGTCATACATAAGGCTGTATTAATTCACGTCTGCCACAGTGCCACAAACACACTGGGAATTCTTTGTCGCTAGGGCACGTGCTGATGAATTTTGACACATTTCCTGCCAAAACTTCAATTCTAACTTTTTATTAAATTTGATTCCAGAACTTTCATTGAATGCTTAAAAATATTTCTAAGCTAAGAGAGTAGACCCCAAGAGTTCTCACCACAAGGAAAAAAAATTTTTTTGGCGTGTCCATATGAGATAATGGATGCTAACTAACTTACTGTGGTGATTATTTCAAAATATACGTAAGTCAAATCATTACACTGTACACAAACTTACACAGTGCTGTCAATTATATCGCAGTAACACTGGGAAAAAGGAGAAGAAATTGTTTAAAAAATATTTCAAAGCAATAAATTTTGATGACAATTCAAAAAGAGAGATTTACATACTTTTAAATTTACCAAATAGTTGACCTCAATATTATCTTTAAGACATTTCTTACTGTTCATTCATCCTTCTGAAAAATAATCAGTCATATTTACTATATTATTTTTTAAAAGGCATCTTAAAATTCCACAACTTATTCTGAAATTCATATCCAAAAAACTTCCATTTATATTACACTTAAAGAGAGAATTAATGCAGAATGGCAATACTTGAAAAGTACGTAAAAGCCAAAATAAGATGTCCTGAGCCACAAGCAAACAAAATTCCATCAGAGACTCTTCTGAGTTTGTTAACAAGAGGCTTAAACCCACTACAACTTTATAAGAACTGAAAAAAGTTTCCTCTTTGCTCCTAAAGGTTTACACAAAGCTATTAATATGTTAATAATATATTTTATATATTCTATATAATATATAAATTTTATTATATGTGTACATATTATATAAACATAATGTTTCAATATGCATAAAAGGTGGAAATAAGCTATGAGCAAAACGGCATGATTTCTTGATCTATATAAAAAGAAAATATATCACAATCAATTCATATCTTGTTTTTTTTAAAAAAGCAATTTTGTTCTTATCAATTCACACATAAAATAGGTCTGTTCACTACTTATGTCTTATAATAAGATCGAAGCTTGAAGAAGCCAACAGCTTGATATAAAATGTAAATTTACTCTGTAAATCAACTATCACACAAAACTTAATTTTTTTTACTATTTACGCTATAAAAGTTCGCACAGCATTAGTTTGCAACATCTATGTTTTCCTCATGATAACTCAATATTTTCTTAGGTATAAATTCAAACATCTGGCGTACGCAGAACCGAAGTTTCAAATAAACAGCAAATTTCAGCAGCTCTACCATTTGGACCTCTACCTCACCCAACGCTGACTTTCAGGGCTGGAGGATGAGCGGGCAGAGGCTCTGGGCACTTATATTATGGAACATGGGGCCTGCTCCTCTCCCTTTGCCTCCCCCTACTCCCACCATAAAACCAAACACATTAGAGCAAAATTAAGAGTAAGAAAATCCAAGCCCTAATTCTCCATAATGACTACTTTGATGTTTTTCAAATAATAAATTCCAAAAGAACAAAACAAAGAATGAAATTATTAGCCATCCCATGATTCTTTCCAATAACCCTAAAAGCAGTTTAATACACATGGACTATTAGTTGTAATACAATGTTAATAAAGCTGAAGCCAAGAGACCAAGAATGAAACAAAAGCCAGTTTACATTCAAGACCACTGATATTCAGGCACCATCCTGAGCTTGTATCACATTTAAGTGCACTTCTCAAACAGCAGATTAAAGCTGGACACAGAAGCTGCACCGCCTCCCTCAAATCTGAGGCTGGCCCTGCTTGTTATTAGCAACAGAATGCAGCATGAGTACTGCTGTGCGAGTTCCCAGGTTAGGTCTCAAGGGGCCTTGCTGCTTCCTCTCTCACCCTCTCTGACCCGATACCTGCCACCTGCCACCATGTGAACAAACCACGTAAGAGAGAACTGAGGTGTCTGACCCACAGCTGCCAACTGCCCAACACACAGCCACCCAAGAACACCCGCCCCAGCCCAGCCAGAGGTCTGCAGCCCCACGTGTGAGCCCAGAACTCCCCACCTCAGCCTAGCCCAAAGTGGCCACCCACAGGAGCAAGAACTAATACATGATTTTCATTTTAACACCTCTAAAGTTTGGTTTGGTTTGTTACACAACAAAGATTGATGATCCACCATCCAAAACCACTGATTCAGCCCAAATGGACTATTTAAAACCCCGCCAAAGTCCACACCACTCCAATCTCTATTTCATGTCCACACTTCTATTTAAAATTATATTTGACATTTATGTGTATAATCTCAAGTGCTTCTCCTGAATTAATAGTCAACCTTCCAAATAAATACTTTCTATCATTTCTAATACCCTCAATCCCATTCCTACCTCATTCCCTAACGCATTCTTCTACCTCTCCTGCCTACAAGGACTTTGCTCTCTGCCTTCCACGAATGCTCACAGGACTTCTCTTTCTGCGATCCACATCAGCTTTCGGCACTTCACAAACACTAGCGTGGGTGTTTTCTCCCTCTTAAACTTTACTGTGAAGTTACTCAGGCACGCTCCACAGTTCTGTCATGTCTTCTCAGTGCTGATGAACTTGTCTTCCCCACTCCCTCATAGTTTCAAATGAATTTTTAAAATGCATGTCCCAACTTACCAATAAATTGTCAGCTCCACTGGGGTTGGGAGAAACTGTGAGTCCCTCTATCTCCTGTTGTGGCTGCTTGCACGTTACTAGAAAAGAACTGGTGACTGGATTCTAAGTTTGATCAATTTTAGAAATGTTGAAAACGAGCATTCAGCTGCCAGAAGTTGTTCCTGAAATGTAAAGATCGCCTTTCTACAGCTACCACAGTTGGTTGCCTGCATTTATTTTGTCCACGCATTAATATTTTATGCATGAAGTAAGATAAGAAAAATCCAAGTACGCTCCAGAATGAAAATTTCACTTCAAAATGAATCAAGACATAGCCCAAAAATATGGAGGCAAGAACATATAAGTGAGAATGGACATTTGCTTCAAATAGAATTAATTCACACTTTCAGTATTTATACTACACAGTCATTAGAATAAAATGCAACTTAGTCTTCATGACAGTATCCTTCATTCTTTCTTGTTTGATACATAAAGATTAATTTTCTCTAAGAGTACCTTAGAAAATAGTTAAATGAGTATAAAATCTAGAAAGATATTTATCAAACTGTTAGCAGTTATTTTTAAGAACTGATATGTTTAACAGGGTGATTGCCCATTTCTGCTTTATATTGAGACGTTCTTAACGTGTATACTAAAGAAATCTTAGACTTTTAAATGGCTTTCAGTATTTCTCTTTCAAAAAACGTTTAAAACATTCAACTGCTCTTCATCGTTTGGCACTAGAAATGAATCTAGATCATATAAAACAGTTATTGGTTCCCTAGCAACACTGAAGGGGCCTCTTGGCACAGAGGCATAGTTTTTCAAGTGCTGATGTGAGGAACAGTCACAAATTGCAGAAGACAAAAGGCAGACACTTGGTCTCATGCAGTGTCTCCGGATTCTTTCCTACTACTGCCCAGTTCTGCTCATGTGGCAAATCAAGTGACAGTTTAACTTGCAAACTACTTGAAGGTTCAAACATGGTCTCAAAACTAAATCAGATAACAAATCTTACAATTTTATTCAAACTTATATCCAGAGTGTGATGGAATAGGTAGCACATTATCAACCACAAGTATTTGAATCTCATCCCATTTTAGCAGTGACAAAAATAACACCTCTCAGTTTAATGCTTGCTTTTTTTAATCTCCAAATTCCAAATCACTTGGATCTTTATGGAGCTTCTCTTCTGCCCAGTCTGACTTCTGTCTGGGCATCAAAATGACATGAGTTCAGCAGAACATTTGGTAGCCCTTGATGCTGTCCTCTCCTGCTGGGGCCTCAGGTCTGTTTCTACCCTAAGAACGGAGCAGAACTGGGCACGATGGAAGCGGCTGTTCCACTAGGAGGAAGGCAATGTTCGGAACTGATGACCTGCCCTGACTTTTTTTTTTTTTTTCAAGTTTAAGCTACATATTAACCTGGATAGTCTGCAGCTATCCTTTTTTTCCTTCTGGCAATCCTGAAGTCATATAAAGTTGGAAAGTGCTCATGAAACTTTATGGTGGGTTAAAAAAAAGAAGTAAACATGCGAGAATTTTTAATAGTGTTTTGATGGAGGAAAGCCTTAGAGAAAAACAGAGAAGAAACACAACAGCTATGAAGGGAAAGACAAATTTAACTACACTGAAAATTTTAGGTTAGAGAGTCACTAGCTGGCATTCAACAAACACTCCCTGAATGAAGGACGGTATTCTGCTGTTCTATCACTGGGCAAACAAACAAAAGGAACGGTTGGAAACATGTTTTCCACAGATTCACCTATACCAGCAAGACAGCAAATGTGAAATCTGAGCAGGGATGGCATAAGCACAGGGATGCTAAAGATCATGTCTGAGTGCAGAATTCAAGCAGTGACGGGAGAGGTCTTTTCATCTGGGTGCAGAGAGAGGAGCTGTGAAGTGTGAGACAGGTAATTACATCAACTGTCTAGAGACCTAAGCAATTAGCAAAGAGCTTTAATACAACAGAATAAAAGAGCAGTCAAGAACTCTGGGTGCCTAGACATAAGCAGGT